ATATATATATATATATATATATATATATATATATATATATATATATATATATATATATATATATATATATATATATATATATATATATATATATATATATATATATATATATATATATATATATATATATATATATATATATATATATATATATATATATATATATATATATATATATATATATATATATATATATATATATATATATATATATATATATATATATATATATATATATATATATATATATATATATATATATATATATATATATATATATATATATATATATATATATATATATATATATATATATATATATATATATATATATATATATATATATATATATATATATATATATATATATATATATATATATATATATATATATATATATATATATATATATATATATATATATATATATATATATATATATATATATATATATATATATATATATATATATATATATATATATATATATATATATATATATATATATATATATATATATATATATATATATATATATATATATATATATATATATATATATATATATATATATATATATATATATATATATATATATATATATATATATATATATATATATATATATATATATATATATATATATATATATATATATATATATATATATATATATATATATATATATATATATTTTTTTTTTTTTTTTTAAATTAGGAATGAATGCTTTCAGATCTTTATAAACCCTAAAATTGCTGGGTCATCGTAACCCATATTCGGTCAAATATGTAAAAAAAAATAGTTGTGTTAAACATTGTAATTTAAATTTAATTGAAACAAGTGACCCAATGTTGAGTTTGCCCATATTTGACCCAACATTTGCTACATTTTTCAGAGTATAGAAAACATATATACACAAACACACAGTACACTAAACATAATACATAATGTTTCTGTTTACTTTTGTCAGATGCACTTTTTTGCTAAAAACAAAAAACGAAAGATGTCCTATTTTTATGCTTTTATTTCATTTTAAAAAACACAACAACAACGTTTAACTGATTTGAGAATTCAATATCTGGAGGAATGACCCTGATTCTGACCACCAGTTGCTGTTTTTTCTGAAATATGTCTGAAATTATAATTTTTCAATTTAAAATTATTAATAAATGGTTTCAGATCTTTATAAACCTTAAACTTGCTGGGTTGTCGTAACCCAACTTTGGGTCAAATATGAAAAAAAAACACATTGTGTTGCGTTGAATATTGTAATTTAAATTTCACTGAAACAATTAACCCTCTGTTGATTTACTTATATTTGACCTAAAGTTGGCTACGTTTTCAGAGTGTAGAATAAATATATACACAAACACACAGTGTGCTTCACATAATACATAATGTTTGTGTTTACTTTTGTCTGTTGCACTTTTTTTGTTGCATAAAATAACAAAAGATGTCGAATTTTTATGCTTATATTTATTTTTAGAAAACACAACAACAACGTTTATGAATTCAGTATCTGGAGGAATGACCCTGATTCTGACCACCAGTTGCTGTTTTCCCAAAATATATTAAATTATAAATAACTATAAATATTTATTTTATATATATATATATTTATTTAAAATTAGGAATAAATGCTTTCAGATCTTTATAAACCCTAAAATTGCTGGGTCATCATAACCCAACACGTGGTCAAATATGGAAAAAACAAATCTAAATCTTGTCATTTAAATTTAATTAAAAAAAATGAACTCAACTCGGACTCAACCCAACCCAACTTTGTCCATGTTTGAAGCAACATTGGTATAGATATATACAAGAACACACAGTCTGCTTCTCATAATAATGTTTCTGTTTACGCCGAGTTCCAGCATGTGTCTCCATTGAGTCTAGTCTGCCAGAAACACACTTCTCTTTCAGGTTAGTGTGATGTGGGTCAGAGTCAGTTGTTGTCTTTGTGTGTTGCAGGTGAAAGTCACACAAGAGGTGAAACACACTCACACAGAGCAGCTGAACAGACTGCAGCTCAAACACCAGACCGACTTGGACTTCCTGGAGGATCTGAGGTTCGGTTTGATTCATTGCTTAAAGGGGCAGTTCACTCCAAAATTAAAATGCACTCAATATTTGCTCACCCCAAAAAGATTAAAACCTTTATGACATTGTTGAACACAAAAGAAGATATTTTGAAGAAAGCTGACAAGCTGTAGGCGGCATGGTGGCTCAGTGATTAGCACAGTTGTGTCACAGCAAGAAGGTCGCTGGTTTGAGTCCCGGTTGGGTCAGTTGGCATTTCTGTGTGGAGTTTGCATGTTCTCCCCATGTTCGCATGGGGTTCCTCCGGGTGCTCCGGTTTTCCGCACAGTCCAAACATGTGCGCTATATTTCAATTAAACAAGCTAAATTGGCTGTAGTGTATGTATGTGAATGCGGATGTGTATGAGTGTTTCCCAATGCTGGGTTGCAGCTGAAAGGGCATCCGCTGCGTAAAACATATGCATATGTGGTGTAGTTGGAGGTTCATTCTGCTGTAGCGACCCCTGATAAATAAAGGGACTAAGCTGAAGGAAAATTAATGAAAAGCTGTAACCATTGACTTTCATGGAAGGAAAAACAAATACTACGGTTTCCGCTACATTCATTCTTCCATGGCGGGCGCCACTCCAAAATTGATCCCGCCACGGCTACATTACAGCTTCCCATTCAAAACATTTTATTTTTTTAATAGCGGGGAATAGTCGCATCAAAACGTATTAAAGGGTAAGTGAATTATAATAGCGCGTGTTTTTCTATATCCGTAGCAGTGCTGTGCGTCATTTGTTTACACTTTAAGGTGAGGTGCTGACTGACTGACTGACTGACTGACTGACAGGTGCATAATGCGTGAGGTCAGCAAACACAACGTATAGCCGTTTCACTTTACCTCAGGACGCATGAATGCTATTCCTGAGGTCTGTTGGAGACAATCATAAATATTCCTATAGCAAATCTAATAAATGCTGGAGACATACTCATTACTTAAATGCACTAAATCACACTTCAGCAGCGTTTGTTTAAGAGCGCACGAGAAGATCCGCGTGATCTTGAAGCGGCTTCTATTTGAGGGGTGTGCACGAAGTTTTGTGCACGAGCAGAGGAAATCGGCGCCCAAGCAGAGAGATTAGCATGCTCGTAGGTTATTACAAAAATGCAATCCCGACTATTAATAATGTGCTCACGACATTTGTCATTGAAATAACACCACAGGTAGTTGGTAGATCTGTGTAAAAAAAAAGGGCCTGCTGCCACAGCTAGAAAAAATCCTAGAGGAAACACTGAATACTATGGAAGTCAATGGTTACAGGTTTCCAGCATTCTTCAAAATATCTTCTTTTGTGTTCAACAGAGACACAAAAGTTTGGAAGTAGTGAATGGAGAGTAAACGATGACACAATTTTCAGTTCTGGGTGAACTATCCCCTTAAAATAGTTATTAATGAGTTTTCTGTCAGTCTGTTGTTGTGTTAGTAATGACCTGCTTGACTGTGTGAAATTCTCAGGACTTACAGCCAGAAGAAAGCACTAATAGAGAAAGATTACTCACAGGTGAGTTGTGGCCACAAACCTTTATAATCTAAAGTGTGCTTATTTTTGATGCATTCTTAGTTTTTCATACCAGATAAAAATGAACAATTGAATGAAAGGCAGTTGCAGCTTGTGACAAAATCTTTCAATTATGACACTTTTTTAAAGATTACTCTTGAAGTGAATTCATTTTACTTGTTTAATTTGGACATTGTGGCGGCACGGTGGCTCAGTGGTTAGCACTGTCACCTCACAGGAAGAAGGTCGCTGGTTCGAGTCTCGGCTTGGTCAGTTGGCATTTCCGTGTGGAGTTTGCATGTTCTACCCTTGTTCATGTGAGTTTCCTCCGGGTGCTCCGGGTTCCCCCACAGTCGAAAGACATGCACATAAAACAAAATTGTTTAAAAAAAGAAATCTCAAGATATAATTGAACGTTTTAAAAAATATTGTATAATATTGCGTATAATGTAGATTGCATAAGCAGATTCACACTGAAAGGGATTTATATTTAGCGCATGTCACGCTGAATGTCTTCCTGACATTAATATAAGTTTTTGGGTCCCACTTTATATTAAGTGTCCTTAACTACTATGTACTTGCATCAAAAAATAAATACAATGTACTTACTGTGTTCATAATTTATTTGAGAACACTTGTGGTGCTCTTGAGTTGGGATAGGGATTGGGTTATGGACAGGTTTGGTGGTGTGGGTAGGTTTAAGGGTGGATTAAGGTGTAAGGAATGGTCAACAGTGTATTGTCAAATGTAAATACAGAAGTTAATTACAGATGTAATTACATACAGGTATTAAATCAAGCAGTACACAATAAATACATGTATTTACACAATAAGTACATTGTAACAAACTATTATTTCCTGTGTAAGTACATACTAGTTAAGGCCACTTAATATAAAGTGGGACCAGTTTTTGTGTGTGTGCATTGCATAAATGACCGCAGATATTATCCCTTCTGTTTTTTATGCAGAGTACACAGCACCTCAAAAATCTTCATCATCAGGCCATGCAAAGTGCAAACAAAACAAAACGTGTATAATGCATAAACAGATTCACACTGAAAGTGAATATATATTTACTGCTTGTCATGCTGAGCGTCTTCTTGACGTTAATATAAGATCAGTGGGTGATCGGTGTGTGAATAAGGGCATCCATCGGGCTGAATGACGCTCAGTGTGTGCGACTGAGAGACTCACTGCTGTTGGATCTGAAGCCTGTGCACCTGCAGGGCTGCCGCGTGCTGATTGGCTCACGAAAACAGGAGTCTTTCTCTTCCTTGGGTCTCTTCCTGAGTCCACACATCAGAGCTGGCAGCTCAGAGCATTGCTTTGACAGTGCCAGCTTGTGGTCTGAGGGCCAGGAAGACAATCCTTTCTGTTTTTGAGGTCTCGTTTTTTCACTATGTTTCAATCCACCTATTTTTATGCTCATATATTGAAATATCTACTGTGGCTGAGAGAGCTTAACAGGCTTCAACTAATGAAAACACATGCAATTATTAAAAATGCCTGTAGATTAAGAAAAGATCCTCATCGGTTTGACAGCAAATGTTTCGCACATCCTAAAACAATGCAAACACAATAAAAAAGCACGCTGCATTTTATTACAAGGCAAATAAATTAAGAAAACGTTCTCAAGTGGACTTAAAGGTTCAGGACACCCTGGAGAACTTTTTTTTTTATATTAACAGATGTGTGTGTGTTAAGCATCAGTTAAGACAATGTTAGCCCTGTCAGGTTTAATTGTGGGGAAAACTGGATAATTTTGAGCTTTTGTCAGCTAATTTCAGCTTCCGGGTTTAAAATGATTTTTGGGGCGGAAGCAAAATCGGCGACGTAGCGCAGTACTGCAAGTGCAATGATGACGCGTCGGTTTCTTATTATTATTCATAGCAGAGTTTTCTTATCCTATGAGAAAAGCCGGTTGCTTAATTATTCATGAGAGCACGTGCTTTCCGAAGGAAAGCAAGGCAGACCTGCCAGTTTCAAGCAAGCTGAGAGACACGAGACGCGGACCCACGGCACGCAGTAGCCGTTCATGAAGGCTCATATGTGTTTGTTTCCATGATCCACTGGGTTTGTTGCATGTTTTTTCCCCACGATCTTGTCAGGGCCGATCATACAGCAAAGCTGTGTGTGTGCTGCAAGCATTTTTGTCGGGAGAGCAGTGCGAGAATTGGAGAATGGCGGACATTGACTTTTATCAGGAGTTTGTTCACATTTAGACACATGGCCGTGATGCTGCTGTGTTTGCCTAAATCCTCTATATTACCAGCAGGGCTAATGGTTAAAATAAGCACGTCAGGAGACCTGCTGCACTGAGTCTGCATTCAGATCTATAATTTAGACCTGGGGATCGCGGGAGAATCCTCATTTATAGTGTTTACATGAACACACTTATCTTTATAATGATATAAATTGTGGTTATGTGTATATGAAATTACGAATAACAAATGTAGCAGGGCATTAAATTACAGTTTATTTCTTTGCATTTTAACTTTGTGAATTATAAACACATTCGTCTCCTCACGGTTTGTGTCTCATTTTGTGAGCTAACTGTCAACACTCCCCTGCTGGCCACGCCCACTCCTGCCCTATGCTTGCGGAGCTCCACGCCCATTAATCATGCATCTTTTGAAAAAATTCTGAAGTAGACTTTAACCGAAAGTGGGGGGTGTCATGGCCCTTTAAAAAAGAGACGGACCTGGCTGGAATATGTTTATTGCTGTCAAACCAATAAGGACTTTTTCTTGATTTCTCGTTTTTGTAATTGCAATTGTTTTTTTTAAAAGACACCATGTTAAGCGCTCTCGGTCACTGTAAATATTACATAAAATTAAAATAAATGATGCCAAGGTGAGCATAAGTCTTGAAAATCCGCATGAAAAACTAAGCGTATGCACCTTCAAACTTTAATCAATGGATATTTTACAAAACATGATCTTAAAAAATATGATATACTATAAGAGACTGTACCGATGTGTGTTTTTTTATTACTTATTATAGGCAACCTATTTAAGATCAGATAAGGAAGATGGACCCTTCGGTTATTTCAAAAGAGTTAGACTTTGACTCACTCAATCTCCCTCTTTCATGTGTCATTCATTTAGCTTAGTCCGTTATTTATCAGGGGTCGCCACAGCAGAATGAACCGCCAACTATTCCAGCATATGTTTTACACAGCGGATGTCCTTTCAGCCGGAAAACACCCATACACACTCATTCACACGCACATTCATACGCTATAGAAAATTTAGTTTATCCAATTCACCTATAGCGCATGTTAGTGATCTGCATGGGACTAAATTTTGGGGTGGTGGGGTGGTGGTGGGGGGTCGGGGGTTTGAGGGGGGAACAAAACGGAAAACCTCCTAGCGATACATAGTCCAGACAGCCTATAATAAGCTGTCTGTATAAACACACACACACACACATGGGACTAAATTTTGGGGTGGGGGGTGGTGGTGGGGGGTCGGGGGTTTGAGGGGGGAACAAAACTGAAAACCTCCTAGCAATACATAGTTCAGCTAGTCGGTAGCGACACACACAGCACCAAGCAAGGGACACACAGACAGCATCAAGCTCTCTCTCTTTCACACACATAGACAGCACCAAGCTCTCTCATGATCTCTCATTCACACACATACATACGCGTGCTCGCTCGCTCGGGAGTCATGAGTGATATTGTTAGAACGCCCGCTTCCATTCAAATGACACCAGTTACCGACCGCTGTCGCGCTTTATGCAAATGCAGACCTCTAGCACATGTCTTTGGACTGTGGGGGAAACCGGAGCACCCGGAGGAAACTCACGGGAACATCCAGGACTCAAACCAGCAACCTTCTTGCTTTGACGTGACAGTGCCAACCACTGAGTCACAGCGCCATTAACCTGTAACCATCGACTTCCATATTAGAAGAAACAAATCTCGTAGAAGTCTTCTTTTGTCTATAAATGGAATAAAAAAGTCAAACAGGTTTGGAACTAATGATGGGTGAATAAATTAATTTTCATTTTCTGGTGAACTATTCTTTCAAGACCTGCCAAAGAGCATATAAGGAAAAGTGTTAATAAAGAACACTGGATTTTTGATAGGGTGTTCAAACTTTTTCAAATGACTGTGTGTGTGTGACCTGACTTTGTAGGCTCTGCATAAACTTGCCTCGCAGTATTTGAAACGAGAGTGGACCGGAGCCCCATCAGAGGAGCCCAGAGACTCCAGGTCATATATAAAAAAAGTACAAATATGATTGATTTTCAAATGCATTGTCCAATTGTCTTCATTATCCCCTGTGTACATGTGTTCAGAAACATTTGGGCCGTATGGAGATCCTACTTGGAGGGTGTAATGAAAGTGAGCCAGTCACGAATTAACAGATGCGAAAACTACAGGAGCCAGATCTCAGATCCTGTGAAGACATTCAGAACGCAGAAAGACCTGCAGCTGAAGAGGGTAAATTACTTAACAGATAATCTGCGGAGTGTTCTGACCATTTATGAGAGTGTTTATTAGGGCTCTGTCTCGATTTAGATGTACAACAAATTGACTTTACTCAAAGAAAATGTGTAAACCCATTGCCTTAAAATCGACAAGTTGATTTTACTTAAAAAAATTGAATAAATCAGTTTCCTTAAAAGCCAGGCCTCTACAGCAACTGTCTTCAGTTCCTGTTGGTCCTTGGGGCATTTTCCTTCAATTATTTTTAAAATGCAAGCTCAATCGGATTCAGATCAGGTGATTGACTGAGCCACTGAATAACATTCCACTTCCCTTCAAAAACTCTTTGGTTGCTTTTGCTGTAAGTCGTTCTTTATCTGCACTTTAAAGCACTGTCCAATGAGTTCTGAAGCATTTGGCTTAATATGAGCAGAAAATATTGCCTGAAAGACTTCAAAATTCACCCTGCTGCTTTTGTCAGCAATCACATCATCAATAAATACAAGAAAACCAGTTCCATTGACAGCCATACATGGCCACGCAATGTCACTACTACAACTATGCTTCACTGCTTAGGATCATGAGCAGTTCCTTTCCTTCTCCATACTCTTCTCAATACTCTGGTACAAGTTGATCTTGATCTCAACAGATTCCACATGCAAATAGCACACTTGAAAGGAACTCTAGACCTTTTATCTGCTCATTCTTATTGGGATAATGAGGGAGTAACACACACCTGGCCATGGAACAGCTTTGAAGCCAATTGTCCAATTACTTTTGGACCTTTAACAAGTGAGAGGCACATAAGCAGACTGTTGGAATTCCTACAATCTTTACCTGATTCGGATGTAAAAACCCTCAAATTAAAGCTGACAGTCTGCTATGGAATCAGATAAGTCTCAATAATAATTCACGCAAAAGTGTACACATGTACATGTACACAAAAATGTACACATGCGTAGCCAAATTCACGTGCATAAAACCAAATTCAAGTGCGTAAAATATTTATTTATATTCACTAAAAAATTTCACATGCACAAAATAAAAATATATTTTCATAAAATATGTTTCACAAATGCAAAACACCATTTGCAGATGTATAGGAGTGTACAAAAAGTTTTGAATGTTTAAAACTTGCGAGTTCATCCTGAATGAGAATGTGCAAATCCTCTTTCATGTACGACTCCCCCTGGATGCGTGTGTGTATTTTTGAGACTTTCCTGGCAGAGTCAGGGCAACTCGTACCTTTCAGCCAATCAGATGAGAGCTGTAGTCAATGACACCAACTCTGCGCTCCTTTTGCGAACGGAGTCGCCAGCAGTCGCAGTCGCACTTTTTTCATTTATTTATTTATTTGACCATAGCCTCACTCTTTTTATCCATTATTTTGCCGCAGCTCCGCTCTTCTTATTTATTGTCTCGCAGCCCATAGAGCAAAATGTAGCCTGCAGGGTGATGATGAGGATTAAGTATCATTCCGGCCACATTAGCATAACGGCTCCATTGTGGTCCAGCGGTCAGCACGTTGCGTTACGACGCCCTTCGACCCGTGTTCGATCCTCACCTGAGTAAATGAGTACCTGAGTAGAAACTGAAATAAAAAAAGATCCTCACCTGAGTAAATATTTTTATTTCAGTTTCATTCAGTTTCTAATTACACTATCACGTCTTTTTCAAGAAAACAGTTGCTTTAGAACTTCAAATGTTCAACAACCTTACAGTTATATATGTCTTAACAATAAAAATGAAAAAAAAAAAAATTATAATTTACTCAGGTGAGGATCGTGCACGTGAATTTGGCTACGCATGTGTACATTGTGTCTTTTGCGTGAATAATTATTGAGTCATATCTGACTCCATAGTGTGCAGTTAGAGCACATCTTCATTTCAAACCCATTGTGTTGGTGTATAGAGCCAAAAATGTTCGAACTGTGTTGATGTCCAAATATTAATGGACCTAACTGTATGTGTCTCACGCTGATAAAAACACTATACTCGCATCCAATATCTCGTTTGTCAAGGGGGGCAAGCATTACATTTTCCTGAATAAAAGTGAAAGTGCCAAACTGCAGGTAAAGTCGACAAATTAAAAATGACACACCTGAAATTCTATTATTTTTTTTATAATTATGCACATAGTTCATTCATTCATTCATTTTCTTGTCGGTTTAGTCCCTTTATTAAACCAGGGTCGCCACAGCGGAATGAACCGCCAACTTATCCTGCAAGTTTTTACGCAGCGGTTTCCCTTCCAGTCGAAACCCATCTCTGGGAAACATTCACACACACACTCATACACTACGGACAATTTAGCCTACCCAATTCACCTGTACCGCATGTCTTTGGACTGTGGGGGAAACCGGAGCACCCGGAGGAAACCCACGCGAAGGCAGGAAGAACATGCAAACTCCACACAGAAACGCCAACTGAGCCGAGGCTTGAACTAGTGACCCAGCGACCTTCATGCTGTGAGGCGAACGTGCTACCCACTGCGCCACTGCACCGCCCCGCACATTGTTAATTTACTTCATAATTTTAAGGCAGCAGGTTTACTCACATTTTTTTAAGTTAAGTAAACTAATCACTTTTTACAGTGTACAAAACAAAAACAAAAAAAAAACAATTATCTTGATATTAACTTTTGAGAATTGATATCGAATCAACCACTTTTTTTAAACAATTAAGAAAAAAAAAATCTATATTTTTTGGTCAGGGCCCTGGTGTTTACGGATGTGTGTTCTCTCAGTGTAGTGAACAGCTGTCCAGAGCTCAAGCCGATCTGCAGGGGACGATCAGAGACCTGGAGAAGAGCAGGAAAACCTACCAGGAGGCCGAACAAACAGCGCAGAGCGTCCGAGAGAAAGCCGAGATGGAGGCCAAGTACGTTCACTGACCTGTCACATGTGAAGGAAGTGACATCAGCCTTACGGGAGAGCAGGGCAGGGGGTTATCTGCTGTGGCAGTTTTAAATGAAGATTCAACATTTTATGCTGTTTTTTTCTCATCCTTCTTTCTCTTGCTGTGATTTTTTTTTCTTTGGTTCCTGCAAAACAAGGTCAAGGCTCAGTCTGTTTCAGTCGCGCTCCAGTTTGAAGAGGGCGAGTGTGAAGGTAATGTAGGGATACCCCACTAACCATTGATCAATAATCCCCTAGTTTTTTACTATTTTTTTGTGATTTGTTATGATGAAAATGACAGATTTTGTGGTGGTAATTTGCAGACAATTTTGCACTTTTATATATACAGTCTAATATACATTATATATCTTATTTACCATATTAGATAGTGTACAATGTTAGGTGTGCAATCTGAAACAATGACACAAATTATAAAAGTAAAGCTTCTTCATTTTGGTTTCTTGCAAGACAAGATCTAAAACGGTAGGATTAAGTCTAAGGATGGTGGCATAACTCTTATTTTTATCCATGATCTTACTTTCTCTCTTAGATTCAATTTCCTGGAGCATCTGATATCATGTACCTCACACATAGGACTTGCATTAGGGCTTCCCCTACCGTAATACACCTAAAACACAAATTTCCGTAAAACTTGTCAATAGCAGGGTAGCGTTTTCTCTCGTTAACTGCAGGGAAAGAGTTAAGCAATTTAGTTTATAGATTTGATGCACATCATAATACCAGCCATACATGTAAAGCACAAATAATGTCCTTTAATTCAGTCACGTCCAGCAGGCTTCATCCTTGGCATCAACCAATTGTAAGCTGCTTGCTGTTCTGTCTGTTTTATTGCTCCGTTTGTTAGATGTTTGCTCACACTTTCTTTTGCAGTCTGAAGCGCACCACAGAATGTCTAATGCCATCTTTGCATTGACTTCACATGTAAATCAATCGCGCAAACAGAAAGATATCCGCGTCTGCTTACTGCATAGGCTGCAAAACAATCCTCTCCTCCCCCCTTTCATGTAGTGCTAGGATTGTGAGGGCACAGGTGGGACGTCATTTTTCAAGAGACACTCAAACACTTCACGTGCACTGTGTATGCAATGTTTATAAGTCTAGTAAAACAATTAATTGCATACTGAAATAAATATAATTTGATTATATGGTTTGGAATTGTATGTTTTAGGAGATTATTTGCATTTGCATTTTTTTTGCGATTATTTTGCATGTAAATTAAGAGTTTTGCAGGATCGCAAAAAATTTCACGTTTTGTTGATTTTGCTTTGGATTCAGCAATCGCAGAATCGCGAAAAATTCGGGGGTTTGAATAATAGAAATATATTAGTGCATGTCCATTTCTCCCATTTTTACTGTTTTCATTTAACTCTAGGGTTAATATTGTTAAGTAAAATGACAGATCTGTAAAACTAATGCTATATTTGTTACTTGAAATGGATGTTTTTTCCAGCTAGCTACCAAGAAAATGTATTTATGATTGTATTTAGTTAACTTAAACTAAAATATTGCAGGCTAACAAAAAAGTATTAAAACTATGAATGAATGAAAACTATTGAATGAATTAATTCAAATTCAAATTAAAGAAAACTATAAAACAAAAATAAATTAAAATAAATGAAATAAAGTTATGCAGTAATACAAAATTATTCTCTAAATAATATGTCACTGCACATAATAACATTGTCATTCGCTTTTAAATAATTAATACCTATTTTTGCATTAATAATAATTTCTATAATTATTTTGTAGTATTTTAAATAGGTTTGAAATTTAGGATTGACTATTTTTTCTTTAATGTCATATTATACATTCACTTTTATTGATTATAGACAAAATGGACCATTTTTATTAAAAAAAGTGGAGTAAAAAAAAAGCCATGATGACAGTACATCATATTTTACTAGATATTTTGCAAGACACTAGTATTCAGCTTAAAGTGACATTAAAAGGCTTAACCAGGTTAATTAGGTTAACTAGGCAAGTCATTGTATATCATTGTAGTTCTGTAGATAGTCAAAAAATGTATTGCCTAAGAGGGCTAATAATATTGACCCTAAAATGGTTTTAAAAAAAAACTGCGTTTATTGTAGCCAAAAAAAAAAGAAAACGTTCTCCAGAAGAAGAAATATTAAAGGAAATACTGTGAAAATTTTCTTGCTGTTAAACATCATTTTGGAAACTTTTGAAAAAAAAAAAATTAGGGGGGC